GTGGTTGGTGTGTGTGTGTGTGTGGTTGGTGTGTCTGTGTGTCTGTGTGTCTGTGTGTGTGTGTAGCAAACACAGCTCGGAAAGCTGATGGCGGAAGTTTCGTCTAAGGCCTTTTTCCGTTTGTTGTTCTTTGTTCCTTTTCGGCCCATACCAGTGGCGTCGGATACTCTAGTTCCGGACTTTATGGACCAAGGTGGAGGCTTTGCAGATCAAGCTGGCCTATGGGAGTCCTAGCGTACCCTGGCCTTCTTGCTGCCATGTGGTGCCGTACCAGTCTACCAGTTCCCGTTGGGGTTTTGGGAAGTGGTGAAGAACGCCGAGAGTTTGCTCTAATCAGTCATACTCGTACGTCTGGTGCGGCTTGTCTTGCATATTTGGTTCTCAATGCGGCAATGGCCACCTTGGTGTTGAAATTGAATAGGGCTGGCTGTCAAGTGTTTGTATCGTGGGCTGGGCTCAGTAGTTTAGACGGCTTGAACGAGATCAATGCCCAGCACTCAACACAGACAGTTGGCCCCGCTGGCTTCCTTGAAACACTTTGCGCGAACCAAGAAAGAACACATGCTCGTAGTAAACTCACAGAACCTCTAGATGTCTCGAAGTTGCACAAGTTGCATGAGTCTCACTAAACTCATAATCGTACTTCTGGTTTGCAGAGACTCGTCGGCAATAGCAGGGGTCTGAGAGTAGCTCCGGGCAAACGTCTAGGTCCTGGATTTCAGGCTGGAGGACTTTCTCCCCACACTTTCGAAGGCCGAAGTGCAAAAAAGCAAGCCTGAACTTTGCCGACATTCCGGCGCCAGGAGATCCGCTCTCAGATTGGTGAAACCATTCTCGCCACTCGGGTATCATCTGCACAGGCTTCTTTGCATTGCTGAACGTTCTTGCATAGATTTGGGGCGGGCCGAAATCAGAAGTTCAGAGGGTTTCGGTATGGCGCGCTTGGCATCATTATAGACATAGACGTCGGAGGAGCTTCAGAGGTGACGTGCTTGGAGTTGGAGGACCCCATCTTCCGAAAGACCGTTTTGACAGCAAATCCTCACAATCAGCCAAGGTCTCTGACCTGACCTTCACTTCTGACACCGGCAAACTGTCCGAAGAGGTGCAGTTTGGCAACACGTTTGTGTGGGGCGAGGGTGCCACTTGCGCTTCGGAGCTGAAGCCCTGAGCGTAGTTTCCTGCTCGTGATTGCTCGCGTGTCAACCGCTCGTGTAACAACCTTACTACTTGCAAACGCATTGAAGCTGAAGTTCGCGACGGCAGGACCGTGTTCAACGCTCCATCGCCGCCAACACCGGGATAGGTGACTTCACACACCTCTGTGTCTACACCAGGCGAGCTCGGCTGAGAACATGCTTTCGGGGGCGGGGGGGGGGGGCCTTCAGCACAGTTTGATGAGGAATCCAAGGGTTGGTTAGCGGGGCACTGCGGTCTGAGACTGGGGGCGGGGGGGGGGGGGGGGG